GCTGCTCTCTCTCTCTCTCTCTCTCTCTCTCTCTCTCTCTCTCTCTTTCTCCACGCGACAGCAATCAGAAATAACGGAATCCCGTTGAACACGCCATCAAATCCTCGTTTTCCCTCACGAAAATCGGCCCCGTAACGAAGTTTCGTTCGGGTGGAGCGAAAGTCGAAGGAAAGGAAGCGAAACTTGCGAGCATCCTTCTTAAGATTCTATCGGGGATTCTACCGTGCAGTTTACGTCCCTGTTCCACCCGGTTTAATTCCTCTCTGCCATCGCTTCGGAATATATTCGGCGCCTTCGAATCGCGGCACCGTGAACGATGAGATATTTCATCGGTCTGCGGTTGAATCTCTTTCACGTACCACGAGGATATTATTATTGTCGTTATGCGGCAGGCAGCGCGGTGTTAAATTTCCCGTACGATATTTAACTAATTACTCGAGTCGTCCACGATCGTCGGTACGAATCTTTCCTTCTTTATCGTTTGTCACTGTCTTTTCTTTTATATGTATTTCGATTCTTTTTGGGGTTCTATTCTTTTTTATTTTTTTTATTATTATTTTTATTTTTTATTTTTTTTAACGCGACGCGACCAGTCAGAGGCTGGTCAACGTACTACGTCAACTCGTGACAGCTGCGAGTACGTCAGGGATTAAATCTGTGGTTATAAATGAAAAGGCAGCTAGAATAATATAGAAGTGATCGATGGAATTTTTGTTGTTTAATTTTTTTCCCCTGGAAAAAGTCCTAATGATAAATTACAATCGAACAAAAAAAATTTGATGAAACCCAATTATGTCTGTCGCTCGATATTTCATATAAGAATATAAGGAATATTTCTATAAGGAAATAAACGAAAAACCCTGTCGAAATGATTATTTTTAGTGAAATTAATTCTACGTACACGTGTGTCATATATATAATCTATATATTTCTCATGTTTTTTATTTTAGTATGTCACGTCATTCATAAGAATTCTCGATCTCTTTTTTTTTCATTTCTCAATCTCTACGAATTGTTAATTTGATAACTTTCCAAAAAGTATAGTCCGAGTTCGTGGATCAAGATGAATTTCTCAATTTGGAATAATATCGCTTGGATTATCATAATTTAATCGAAAATCTGAAAAACATTTTAGAAAGAGGTCTGACAACGAAAACCAAATTGAGACACTTTGTCGCATCCCGTCCCATAATGACGGAATCGCTCGAGCTATTTTCCAACTCGAAATAATCCACGAAACAGCGTAAAATATATTACTTTAATTCTAAACAGACTTTCGTCCATAATTTCTATCACTTTGATATTTTTCCAATTCACTTCGTATCTAAACTCTATAATTATCAGGTCGTTTGGCGGATCAAAAAGATTTACATATATCGTTGCTTCCATATAAAAATTTTTGGAATTAATATTCAGTGTATACAAAAACAGTGTGTATAACAATATCAGATCGATCATTTATACGATCGATTTTTTGAAAACAATTAAAACGCAAAAAGAATTTTGAACGACAAGACAAATCCTTACCTCCAATCTCACAAAACTTTCTTACTCTTCCTCTTGAGACAGAAAATCTAAACGAAAACTTGACGAAACGTATCAATTTTGCACCATTTGAACCGGATACAGTAAAGATATACTAAAATTTACACAATTATTACGTTATTTGAAAGATCGTCTCCGAGTAAGAGAACGCCTATATAAGAGATTATTACGCGAACTTATCGCACGAACAACTTAATCACACGACCTTCTTTGAACCCAAGCGACAGGTAAAGGGAGCTCTACCGCTCAAATACTCCTCGTTACATCGTTACACGAAACCACACATCGACCTCGTGTTACCAATAGGCGAAACAACCAGAGTAGGGCGTTAACCCGAAAAGAAAAAAGTAACTAGTTAGAAATAATTTATTCGTAGCTATTATAATAGATCCGCTTTTCACACAACCTCGACTGTTTACAATTACTTTCGATTATTATCAGGTACAAATAAGTTCCTTTCTCTTTTTTTCTACGATCGTAATCGAATTCGAATTACTTTACTTTTATTTTGTTTGTGGCGCCATCTGAAAAAGTGTTCTTTCGTTTTTAAAAAGAGCCGTGACGAGCGCTCTAAGAGTTTCCAGTCGATTTCAATATGGCGTGCGAGAAATCATTCGCGTCACTGTTTACTTTTAGCATTCCAGCTTAGGAAATCAATTGTCGAAGCTATTGAAATGATTTGTGTGCCATTAATGGAGAACTGTGTCTTGCAGAACAGTGCAAAAAGTGATACCAAAGATTTATAAAGCCGGAAATTTTAATTTGGAAGATAATGATCGTTCAGGTGTACCGAGAAAGTTTGACGACGGTGAGTTAGTGGAATTGGCTCGACGAAAATCCAATCCAGACGCGAGAAGAATTAATTGGCAGAAAGATTAGGAGTCACCAGACAAGTGGTATCTATTCCATTGAAACAATTGGGTAATCTTGTACCTAATTTACGTAATGAAATCTTGAATTTGGAAAAAAAAAGGAGGAAAGATCTTATTTGCACATAATTAATAATTACGCCTTGAACAATAAATTATCGAAGTAATTTTATTCGAATCAACTTCAACTATTAATCCTTTGCAGGCGACACGATACGTTTTACCGTTGCATTCGTACGCCATATAGTCGCCATCCTACATTTTATTATATATTATGTGTATGATTATACGTATAATTACATTTTAGGCACGTATAATTACATAATTACCCTTGATTGTTAACCTTCTTAAATATAAATACGAGTGCAAAGGGTTAAATTTTAGGCAAAACCTACTCTCACCTTTTCGGATCGGGCACAGTGCAGAAAGATCTCGGTCTGCGCCTGAAGTAGGAACTCTCGATCCAATCGGCCTCGTCCTCCAGGTCGTAACGCGAGAAACCTCTCGAGTAGGTTGGGTAAGGTTGACGATACATGATCTGGAGGGAACGGCGGGGGTAGGGGGCATCGCAGAGGTTCTCATCGCTGGGCACGCTCCTCACGCAGGCGGAGAGAATCGAGGTTCTGGCCGAGGCGCACGGCGACGGACCTCTGGTCGACAGGCAACCGAAGAACCCACCTCCAGATTTCTCGACCGCGTCCAATTGCCGGCTGGTTATGCAATACTGCTCCTTGATGTCCTCGCGAGAGTAAAGGGGAGTCGCTCTACGATCCCAGTCGATGCTGATACTGCCTGCTGGCGCCACGAAACCGACTTGCAGATCCACCTGAGTCGAGACGTCCACCTGTCACCCACACCAGGTAAGCTTTGATTAGCGGGGGAGAATCGATGGGCGGTGATCAGATCAGGTTAGAAAGCGTTCGAATTAGTTTGCCACGTGTACGTAAATGTAATTTAAACGAGATATTTTGGAAAAGATTTCAGTGAGATTTGATCGTTGTAAAAGATTAAAAGAGACAAATTTCAATCTTTTTCTTTGAATTTTTTCTACGATATTTTTGTAACGAACAAATGTTTATTAGTGTACGCGATACTTTTACTTGAAGAAAACTTTAAAGAAGAAAGAAAAAAAAAAAAACAAGAAAGCTATTATTCAAACGATATCCCTTTCGCGAAGTAACTTTAAAGCTGTGCGAAAAGTGATATTCTTCGAATGACAAACTTCGATAAAAGCAATTTCAAGAAGCGATCGAAAATAAACAAGAATAGAAAAAAAAAAAAAAAAAGGGAAAAATTGCATCAAATGTTCATTTTTCCGTCTCATTCAGATTTATTCCAATTGTTAAAATTGAGATCAATTAACAAGTGACGATATCGATATCGTACCGACACTTTCACAATGTCGCTCGTTCAAATTTACGAGAACCATTTACGCCATTACGAGTTACGAAATCAAATTTGTCAAATCGACAAAATAATTTCTAATTTTACCGTCGATTACGATTCCCTGTCTCTTCGAAATTAATTTAAAAAAAAAAAAAAAAGAAATTATATCAATATCAAATTACACGACGATATTTAAAATCGTAGTTTAAAAAAGACTTAATCTCGATCGAAATATACATCCGATCCGAGAAATTCATTCCGATGAAATTTCATCACGATATATTCCATCGTGAACACTGAACAATTTTGCGCATATTCGAACTGGTCGCTGCAATCCTCGTCAATTTCTAATTGATCCCCGCGAAATTCCAATTTCCATTTCTATTCTAATCTCATTCCGCTTCGAATCGATAACGTTGAAAGTGACACAACCGTCTGAAAATAGCTCCCTGCTCCGCGCCACAAGTACTCTAACTCGGTACACGTTTCCGTGCATAACCTCAAATTGAAACTTTGATCCGTCAAAATTCGGCTGCCAAAATATCCGACTCGAAATACACGTATATCACGCGTATAAAAATAGATATTTTTTTTCCACTTTCAAAGTCATTATTCAATATCATCCTCTCCTAAAAACCCGGCAACGCGCATCAATTTTATCGACCGCCGATATTCGTTGATCTCTAATTGGCCTCGCGGAGCAAAAAGAAAGGAACGGAGAAAGAGAGAGATGGATAGGGGGAAGGGGAAAAAAAGAGAAAGAAGAGGCAAACGTTCTTTTATCCTCCATTAACGCGTCTATTCCGGCTCAGCTTGCCTCGGCGGCCAATCGATCCTTCACAGATTGATCGATACGCGCCGTGTCGAACGGAACTGCAACGCTATTAGCGTCACTAGGAATATTGATACACGTGAGCGCGTGACTTAAGAANAAAAAAAAAAAAAAAAAAAGAAAACGTTTGAAAACTCGAGGAACGCGTGGTATCATATATGATGATTCGGAGATGGGATATTTAGATCGATGCCTTTTTCTATCTTCCTCAACCGTCTCTCTATTCCCAACGGGCGGTTAAATTGCGAAGCTGGACGCGTCAGTTAATAAAATGCACCATCGTTATAAACGCTTCAAGGCGGGGAGAAATTTGTAATTATCGTGGACAATTTTGAATTGAAAATTATATATATCTTTGTTGTGTTGTTATTATTATATTGTATAATTTCACGGTTGTTTTTATTATCATTACAAATGTGTTGAGATGAAGTTTATCTTGGAGAAGTGAAATGTATTGTTATATTATTATTATTATTGTGTTATAATATGATATTATTTGTGTAATTTGATATAAATGTTGATTAAATAGAAAACAAAGGAAAATATATCTGTCCACGTGTTTGAAAATATTCGCTTTTCTAAATTTTTTGTAATCTTGAACATGATAGATTTGTCAAACGTATTTTTGAAAAATACGATTTTTAAACGCGTATAAATATAAATATTGCTGATACAAATTCGAAAAGTCTCGTTTAATAAAACCTAAACCGATTTAAATCGTATGAAAAGAATCGTCAGTTCGAAATTTAACTATTCGATAAATTGATACGAGAGAGAAAGAGAGAGAGAGAGAGAGAGAGAGAGAAGAAAAGAAAAAAGAAAATAATAACAACTAGTTAACGTAAAAAGTAAA